CCCTAGGGGGTTGGGGGAGTGTTAGGAAAATGGCGGTTACGGCGAATGGCCTTTTGTGTCCTCAGGTGTTTTTATGTGCCGCCCCTTTTAAAAGAGGCAAGGCTGGTGGCCCCGTTTTTGTGTTTACTTTTTTTTTTTTCCCCTGTAAATGGTCGTTTGGTTTGGGGGTTGGGGGGGGGGGGGTTTACTGCCATATATGGCCGGCTACACTAGGTATGTCCCGCTGTGAAAGGTATGGTTTTCAAGCAGTTTACTCTGAGATAGGGCATATAAATCAGAGAGTTTCGGTCTACAATAGGGTATCATTTTCAAGGAAACTGATCAATTGGTTGAAGATTTAAGTTTAGACTAGGCCGGAGGGAAACCGGGAATCGCCACTCAAAAATATAAAAAAATCAAATCGGCAAGTTAAAATTTACGCAAGTAAGCCTAAAAGCTACTCTAAAATAGGGGATTTGGAGAGTTTAGTCCAGTATCTGGTAGCAAAATTCAGCTGAACCTAGCTCTGGTATAGGTTATAGGTTTCAGAGTCCCTGTGGCACATCCCCACCCAAAAATTCCTAAAGTGCCCCCCCTTATCGGATTGTTTTTAGCATGACAACAACACCATTTGCGCTGCACACAAAAAGCATAAAGGTGTACCAGTAGCATGGTCACCTCTAGCCTCGCCTCTAATCAAAGGCCAAGACACTGAGTAGGAAACAGTGTAAAATAGTGGAACGAAACATTCTCTGGTAAAGGCTTTCTCGCACGCCTGGTTACTAAATTAGAACTACTAATTTGACAGGTAAAAAAATTAAATGTAGCGACAAGAAAATACACCACAGCCACTATTATAATTATTAATTATTATAATTATTATGATGGACATTTAAGGGGCGTCAACTGAATAAATAGTCCTTGGATGATCATGTGGTCAAGAAGGCATGACGAAATAGGATAATTTTATTTTAAGAACTGAAATGTGTGTGGTGATATCCAATTTGAGTTTATTCATAGAAACCTAGGATAATCATTCATAGGAACCGAGGATAATTATTCATAGAAACCTAGGATAATGAAATAAACAAAAGGTTGTGACGCGGGTTAATTTTATTTCAGGAAAATACGTTTGATGACCTCCGGTAGAAAATAAAGCTCTTAACTGGAAAGTTATACCACGTTATACCGTTACACACATTGCCTTTTCTTTTTTGGATGTTCTTTTCTTCGTAAAAACTGAAATATGCCCTAAAACAACTGGAAATCAACTGAAAATGCCATCCCATACCATCTAACTGACAAAGTGCGTGATAAAGTTGGCCAAAGATTGGTCACTGTCTCGGCAACTATGCGAAAACTAAGAAGACACATAGCCCCCCCCCCCTTCCCCCCGTTGGGGCCGTTAAAAGATTAGCCTCCCATGCAGACCCTTAAGAACGTTTGCGTGGGTGGCCATTAAAAGATATTTTCTCTCGGTATAGTTCTGGCCCTCAGGAAGGCTAATTTTGGTAGCCAAAATATTGGCCTATAATAAATCAGCCCTTTGCCATAGGGCCAGCCCTGCATTGAGTTTTGAATAATAATAATAATTATTATTATTGTCATTATTATTATTATTATTATTATTATTATTATTATTATTATTATTATTATTATTATTATTTATCTCTACAAAAACTTCATAACCACCGAATGCTTGCCCTTTAAAAACCAGGCCTGGTTACAAATTAGCAAAACACATGACTGTCTTAGAGAAGGTAACGTGGCATTGCTAACACTACAATATACGATATCCACAATTTTAATTAATAATTTTAAAAAAAGAAGAGCAGTTTATTCTACACTGTTGCCACCTACGCTAACCTGTCTACTCTGGTTTACGAGGAGCCGATTTTTCTTGATTTCCTATCATGTAAATTATGAGGCAGCATTTTAGAGAATAGTCTGAGACTAACAGCCGACATATCAAGAAGCTTCCACTGGTTTCCAGGGAAACCAGGGGCAGGGGTAACGTCGCCGAATGTCGGCTGTTTTCTCAGGCTACTTAGAGAATCTTAGTGATGGTGGGGCGCTATATAGAGCATATAAATAGTGAAAATTGCTGAGCATAAAAAATTAGCGTAACAGTGTGAAATATCGAGTATGACCCTAGTTGACGAGATCGCGTGACAACTGTTAATTTCGTTTGGTAACACGCGAAAGAAATGTATATTTACAATTCTTGCTTATCGGCTGATGAAATGTTACATTTCTCAGCTCGTAGAAAAAAGTGAAACCTTCCCTCGAGCGCGGGTTAAGAAAGCTATTTGTTCCAAGGAGCGATTGGGTCAGAGTGAATATTTTCCGGCCACGGTCAGTTGCAGGGCGGCTTAAATTTACTTGCTTCCATTATAAACAGTTTTTTGCTTTTTTATAAATGAAAAGGTATAATATTCATTTTCAGTTCAAAATTGTACTTCAGTTTCTCTCCAAATCTCTGCATAGTTTTGTCCACAATGAAAGAAGAGCACCTAGGTTGATGCGCAGCACGTGAATCGTGGCATTTTCTGTAATGAAAGACACGCGCCACTTCCCAATTAACTTTATCGGCCTCATAGAACTCTTCGATGGGTTTGCTAATGTGATGTATTCCTTGCTCGAATATTCTCCGCGGATCTACGATGCACTTGGTGTAAAATGGAGTCACTTCACTTGTTCGGTGGAAAACGCGTTGTGTCATTAAATGTGATCCGTTTTGGTCCGTTGAAGGATCCAAAAGGACGCTTTCAAAGCAGTGTCCACAATGGTTTTCTTTATGAATGTACTCTAACAATGCGGTTATGTTCTCATGGCGAAGGGGTACAATGAATTCATCCAAGTCATGAAACGCAACAAAGTCGAAATCTCGCATAGAGCGAAACAAACACTCCCAGATGGCTAATGGTTGACCAAAATAGTGCAAATCGTGTTTTCCAATGTACGAGGGTAAATTCCATGGCAAGACACTCACTAAACCTAGATCTTGATAATAATTCAAGACGTTTCGCACACCTTCAGACATTGATAAATCATAAAATGTAAAATGTGAAGCGCCTAAAATCTGCGTGAGTTCTAAAAACTCAATAATTTTTCCAACCGAGATTTCACCGTGAACAGGAGGGATACAAATGCCATATTTCTTTTGAATTCTGCCTTTCTCATCACCGATAGAACGAACTGGAAAGACCATCGCATTACTCTCGCTACGTTCCGCTAATGTTGCAGAAATGTTCACAAAGCATGGAATATTGTCTAGACTTTGTGGAAGAACGCAGGAAGCTATAAAGTATGCAAATCGCCGTTGGTAACTTTCGTTGTGCTCATAGAACGAGGCTTCGACGGCAAAAGTTTCCTGTTTTGATGTACTTTTAAATAGGCAAGTTAGCGACGGAACGGTTTTTTTCAAGGACAGCAACAAAATTCGTATAAAATGCTGCGATTTTCGATCGTCAAACCACACCGAGTACACCATCGCCTCTTTGACAATCTCGCGAAATGTTGGCTTTTCTACAATTTCAGGACAATCGTACTTAATCTGTTTTTTAGCCGTCCCTTGCGCGGTATCTGAAACCGTGTTGTTCACCTTTCTGTTCTTATAGCTAAGAGGTAAGTGTTTGTCGCCGAAGTCACTGCTTCGAGTCGATTTATCCTTTGCATGTTCGTAGCCCGTAATTCCAATGGATGGCCCTTCCAGGCGCAACTGTTTCTCAGCACCAAAATTTGAACGGTCGTGGTCGCTATTTCGGTTTGAGTTATCCCCATAATGTTCATTACTTGTCAGAATTCCGATGGCTAAAAGTCTGTCTCGTAGTTCCTGCTTCGAGCGTTTCTCGACGTCCAAACTTGTCGCTTGCTGACGCTCTATCGCGGAATTTTCAAAATACAGAATAAGAAACAGGCCAGTGAGCGCTAAAATCGCGAAAACTGCACGTTTTCTACGTCTGTAGGGAAGACATAGGCGGAAACATCCACACCTTACGAAAGTGATCATGATTTTACACGAAGTAAATTGGAATGGTCACGCAATATTTAGGGTTTGATACACGCAGCAGGTTGGCACGATAGGCCTTGATTGACACAGAAAGGCCTCTTATCAAGCGCATCTACTTTTAAAAAGCGCAAAGTCCTAAAAGCTTCAGGGGCAAACTTCATTTGCGGCTATCAGCGGGTGTCTGTAAGAGGTGGAAACGGACGGCGGATGCGGACGGCGGATAGCGGAACGCAGAAAATAATGAATATAATGAATAAAAATAAATTAATAAATATATAAGATAAATAAATAAATAAGAAAAATAAATAAAAACAGAATTCAAAATATTAAAAATACAAATATCTGTGTGACATCTCCGGATCGGCGGAGAGGAGATAAAGAGAGTAGGCAGTTTTGTAGTTTGCTCGAATGTCACTTCCAACTCGTGGCTGGGAAAAAAAGATGTGCAGTTTCTGTCGTTTCAGTTTGCGAAATTCTTTTGCGATATCTTAAGGTCCGTGCCGTGATGTCGAAGAGAATGGACAAAAGAAGCCACACTTGGTGGAGAGGTAAGATACTTGCTGTTTGCCGCAGCCCACTGCTTTAGCTCTCTTCCGGGTCAACTGACTCCGACGCAAACAAAACTTTAAAAGGTCGCAGAACGGGGTTCAGCCTCTCGCAGTAGATTCAAGCCTTTTTGAGGAGGGGTGAGAAGAGAGAGCTTTAAAAAAAGCCCAGGGGTGCTCCCTTATATAAGCCATATAGGTATGTGTCGCTCCAAAGGATAGGGTTTCTGCGCCGTTTTAGTCTATAAACGGGTCTAGACTTTGCCCAGTTTGGTCTGGAATAGGGTATGGTTTTCGAGGAAACTACGGGAGTGTATGAACGTATTTATCGGCTTAATTCCAAACGAATAAGAAAGAAAGAGAAACATGCGAATTAGAAATGGATTTTAAGAAATCTTTTTTGTTGCCGTTCTAATCTATTAATTAATGATGATAATGATGACATAATTTCTTAGCGGCCAGGTCGGAAAACGGGTGTGAAAAATGTCATTTTTTTGGTCTGAAACAGGGTCAGGATTTGGCGAACTGGGCGGCACACCCCCACTAAGAATTCCCAGAAGTACCTTGGAAAAAGACAAAATAAATTTAGTTGGCTTAACTATAAGGGATTGTCTCAGCTTATGTTTCTTTTATTTTTCTCATTTTTAGTTTAATTTCAAAGGCTTTGGCTATTTATGAATCGAGCCACGAAGCGAGCAAAAGAGTTCTTAGCGCCTCCCGCGACCGCTCGTGGACCTCACGCTTCGAGTTTGTGTCTTCAAACTACACAACAGTTATAGAATTATGGAATGATTACTTCAATAATTCACATGTTAATAGTGGAAGAAATCCGGTCTCTTATGGCCAGCCTTCTGACCTTGTGAGAGCCTTGCTACTCATCGTTCTCCTCTTCGCAAAGTAGCAAACGTGCCATCACTGATCAAATTTTCCTAGGAATAGCATTCTTCTTGGTTTTTAGAAAGCACATGCTGTATGTTGCATGCTTGCATACATGAACTGTTGCAGAGGAAGGTCAGCCTCGACAGTGAGTTTGGAAACTAAAAAAAACGTCTTAATTTTTGAAGCCCTCACCCCTCGTCAAAAGGGCTTGAATCTAGGCGAGAGGCCGAGCCCACTTTTCCACCTTTTATTAAAAGTCAGTTCTGTTTGATATGTGTTTGCTGTCGGAGTCAGTGGACCCAGAAGAGATCTAAAGCAGTGGAGAATAGCTGCAGAAAACAGCCAACATAAAAAAATACAGATACCGCAAAAATTAACTTACCTCCCGGTCAAATAATCATCAGCGTAGCATCCCATGTCTATTCTCTTCGACATAGGCGCGGACCTTGAATACCGCAAAAGAATTTCGCAAACTGAAACGACAGAAAATACAGATCTTTTCTTCCCAGCCAAAAGTTGGAAGGAAGTGGCATGCGAGCGAACCCCATAACTGCCCACTCTCAGCTATCTTCCCTCCGACGATCCAGAGATGTCACAACTTATTTTCATACTCTATTTCTTAATACTTTAAATTCTTATTTTTTACTCATTTGTCTTATTTCTTTGTCTATCTTAATATTTATCTTATACATTTATTGATTTATTGATTTTTATTGATTTATTATTTCCGCCATCCACCGTTCGCCGTTCGCCGTCCGCCATCCGCCGTCCGTTCTGGCTCGTTTTACGGACTCCCGCTATGAGATCTTTGACAACTCTTTCAGTTGCACCTTGTTCTATAGTACATACAAACTTTAGCTTTTCTTTTGTAAAAAATAAGTGACGAGTAATAAAAAAGTGATAAAACACGAAGTGCTAAAACGTGGAGTCGTAAATTTTTATTATCATATCACTCCATTTTTTATCACTCCATGTTTCATTACTCTACGTTTTACTACTCCATGTGTTTTATCACTCCATGTTTTATCAATCCAGTCCATATTTTACCAGTCCACTCCATTCGATATTTTACTATATGCCCAACTGACAATCGCTAATCAAATATGAAAACCTTACCCAAATGCATGTATGGCGAATAACACTTAGCTTTATAACGTAAACTAAGGCTACAGTTTGGTTTTGTAAGAAATAAAAATGGGTTTATGGCTAATTTTATTGACTAGTGAGTCTCTTCAGTCACTATCGCATTTTCTTCAGTTTTCAACTGTAACACTTCAAAACTAGTTAATTAAAATTCATGCTTGCAAATGTATGTCAATAAAAAATAATTATAAAAAGGCGACAGACCCCATAAGGCCGTAAGACTACGCTTTCAAAGATATTTTTGATCTTTTCCCCCTGATACTCCATTTTTAAGTTACAAGTGTTTTATTTTCGAGTCGTTTTAGCCTGTCTGGTAACCGTTCAAAAGGAAATTTTAATTAAACATCTGGCAATGCCAGCGGCCACTAGAATTATAACAGATGTGATAACTATTGACTTTTTGTTCCTTTTGTCCCGCGCATATTTTTAATAAAATTTACAGACAGATGTCGGTGTCAATATAAACAGGTATAAACTTGAGTACAGTGCTGTCACACAACTCCGAACTCCCGCAACACTTTCTTTAATATATATATGAATTATTTTTATAAGAAAATCGAGACTGCAATTTGCGAAATCAGTTAAGAATATTTTAAGAATAATTTTGTGTGTTGAAAACCAATTATATGTTTTCAACTTGCTTTTTCTAAACGGCGAAACCCCGGGGGGGGGGGCTCCGCATATGAAAGGGGTGGGGAAGCTCGTCGTCTCGCTTAGGGGTGAAAATTTCGGATTTTGGTCTCATTTAGGGTGTTCTGGGCAAAACGCCATCATATTTAGCCGTGAAGGTCTCGTTTAGGGTTGCACGCGAAAAAATATAAAAATATATATTTGATCAGGAGCTCAGGGCTCCTGATTTGATATGTATAGTTTTTCATTCGTTTTATTTACTCCATTCATATAATCCAAGTTTTCCCATTTGTTTGTGTTTTAACATGGTCTCTTTTAGGGGTCAAAAAAAGCTTGGGCCACGCCCAGATCGGTCTCCTTTAGGGGTTTAATTCAAAATTTCCGACAAGCATCCCCACCCCTTTTATATGCGGAGTCTCCCCCCGGGGGCAAAACTATCTCATTGGCAGTCAATTTCGCGGGTCTTTAAGGTGGCTCGACACAGTTTTTCAGGGTCAATACCTCCCAAGTTTGAGCATAAACTACGTCGCCATAAGCAAAGACTTGGAAAAATTGCCACCACAATCGTATTACATAAAGATGAAAATTTGTTATGATCAGGGTTGCAATGACATTGGATTAGTCATACAACGAAATGACGCCATTACCTATTTTAATTGCAGCAGTATTTCTCGGCACCGGGAACTGTTCTTTCAGAAACGTTCACGGGAGCTTTTTTCCTCCAATAGCCGCCTCGATGTTCGTGAAGTTTAAGAGCGTTATCGAGATATTTTGGGATGAAGATTTTATGGTTAGAAATACGGTAAAAAAAGGACAATCTTGATGTTCGGCCGTTATCTGTAGAAGACGAAGTTATCGGAGGGCTTATTTATTTCAAGCCCCTTTGAGGGGAGGCTTAATAGAGACGAGTGGTTATTTGAGAAGGGGGCGGGGGGTATTTAATTTAGAAAAGACGATGGCATCAGTTCTCCACAAAGACCTACAATATAACGTAGATAAGCTCAAGTACAAGAAGATTGGAGGTCATGCAGCCGAGGATCAGAAACAAATCCGAACTTTCAGTTGGTAAATAAACTATCCCTGATCAGTCCACAAAAAGTTAAACAGTCGTGATTGATTAATACAGTCTATCGTATATTAGTGAACAATAATAAGTGGAAGGGAGGGGTGGCTTCCATTCAAAAGGGGGGTTTATTAGAGGGAGGGGACTTATTTGAGAGGGGGGGACTTATAGAGGATTTACGGTATGGATGGTTTTCACAGTAACGTAATCAAATTGTAAAGTCAAAATAAGGACGTTTTGCGAATTCTTATTTACACTAGGTTAAAGATAAACAAGAAGTAAATCTCTGTACAAGTTTCCATTCCCGTAGCATGTTTCATTTCGAAAAGACAGCAATTTGAACTTCCGACTTTTCACAGTGCGTCGCACCAAAATAGCAATGCTGTCTCGTTGAAAAAAGTCTGTCCTCTTGATTTTCAGCAGTATAACCATTTCAAGTATTAGAAGATATGTCTATACTCACGTATGCTAGTTCTCGAGTGAAACGAAAGAGCTTTTATAGAAAAATTGAACTCCAGATTTTTTGGTTGATTTCTGACGAGATCGCGTGACAACTGTTAATTTCGTTTGGTAACACGCGAAAGAAATGTATATTTACAATTCTTGCTTATCGGCTGATGAAATGTTACATTTCTCAGCTCGTAGAAAAAAGTGAAACCTTCCCTCGAGCGCGGGTTAAGAAAGCTATTTGTTCCAAGGAGCGATTGGGTCAGAGTGAATATTTTCCGGCCACGGTCAGT